GGGCGGGCGGGCGGGGGCGCCCCCCAGCCAGTATCGGTTGGGGGAGAAGACGAGGGCGTGGATCTCGTCGTTGGCGTTGAGGGAGTACAGGTGCTTGGACTCGTTAAGATCCCAGAGCATGGTGGTGCCGTCCTTGCCACCGGAGGCGCAGAGGGAGCCGTCGGGGGAGATGGTGACGGTGTTGATGTATCCGTTGTGGCCCATGTGGTCGGTCTGCAGCTTGCAGCTAGAGAGCTCCCAGACCTGTTTGTTTCATCACTTGTTAGCGAGCGGCAATCTCCCAGTGCTAGTCGACCAGGGCCAAGGACGCAGGTATTGATGAGATTTTGTGTAGCACCCCCCAAGATAAAACAAGGGGTTTGTATGGAAATCAGGCAAAGGTGATTAGTTTGTCTCATGGCCACAAAAGGCTCTGAAGTAGCAAATACTTGATAATTTTGCAAAACATCATGTGGAAATGGGGTACGTCTTTTTCTTTCTTTGCGTTTGGCTCTGATCAGGGTAGCATTCTTCACAACTCTGCAAACAACATACCTTGACAAGCTTGTCCCAGCCAGAGGAGACAATGACGGGGTTCTGGGGGTTGGGGCTGAATCGCACGCACGAAACCCACTCAGTGTGGCCCTTCTCGGAGATGGTGAACTTGCAGTCACCGAGGGTGTTCCACAGCTTGATGGTTCGGTCGCGGGAACCAGAGACGATCTGGCGGTTGTCGGCAGAGAAAGAGACGGAGAGGACGTCGTTGGTGTGGCCGACGAATCGTCGAGTGGTGGTGCCGGTGGCGAGCTCCCACAGGCGGAGGGTCTTGTCCCAAGAAGCGGACAGGGCGTAAGCACCATCGGAAGAGATGACCTGTAACACACGTATCAGCCAAGCGTGTCCGTCACATACCCTATCGCCCTAGGCAATAGCTTGAAGCATGGCAAGTCCGCCGGGAATGACATACGCAGTCCGAGACAATGTGGGAGTGGCCCGTCAGGGATCGCTTGGGGTATCCGTACTGGGTCTCATCGCGAGTGAGGTTCCAGATGATCAGGGTCTTGTCGCGGGAAGCCGACAGGAGCATGTTGGGGCTGCAAGATGTCCAACGTTAGTCTTTCGTTCCATCTCAGAATCGATATATATATTCGTCTTCGAGATGAGGGCCGGCCAAAAAGGAAAAACGGGAGACATCGCACGTACTTCTCCATGGAGGTGGCCAAGGAGGTGACCCAGCCATTCTAATGTACCAAGTCAGTATTTCCGCTTTCCATCAAAATCGTCGCAAGCTGTGCCTGTCCCATCTCTCCATGCTGACATAGGGGGAAAAAAAATCGGAGCACATATATGATGGCCCCAAAATCGACACAGGTTTTGCTTCAATGCGACGGGAGACGAGGCGTGTGGGAGGAAAAACGTACGTGGCCCTCCAAAGTGCCCTTGAGGATCAATTGTTCAGCCATGGCGACGTAGACGAAGGCGATGCAACGAAGATCGAGAGTTGCAGTGAGAGGGGGAGGGAGAAAGGAAGACTGAAGGGTTTCGCGAGGGCTGGCTCTTCTGCAAAACCGGACTGGGTCTCTTGCAAGTCTCGGTGGCTCGGCTGAAATTGGGATATTTTTTGTGTGGGTGAAAAATTAGGGCCGCCGCATTACACGTTGAGTAAAGTGGTCCCGCAGGTACGCGGGTAGGTACTTGGACAATGTACCGTTTTGCTGGGCCCTAGTATTAGCATGCATCCAAGTACGGAGTACGATGCGTGGTGAAAAGACTAGAGTCAACGCTTCTCTAAGAAACCTATTAGTTAAGCGCTTTTGGTTCTGGGTACGTAATACTAAGAGTGACTTATTGAGATCAATTAGTCGGTACTGCGAGTCTCAGTGACATGTCCTTGTTTGTATTGTATACCGTATTGAGCTTTTCAGTCAGCATCACCAACCACGCTATCAACAATATAGCATAAGAGGCATGGCTCAGTTTCCCCTAACGCAAACCAATAGCACAGTTGACAACTCCAATATATAATAACTATCATTCCTAAGACTACCTGCAAATGCAACTCCAAACTCAAAGCCCACCAGTCTGCGCACAACCCAATATATATCCCATTCCCATTTTATCAACGCTTGGGGTATCATAACGGTAGTATTATCTGCGGCGTCTTTATCTCGAGCCATCAAGACATCTTGCTCCATGCATAGTCATACTTTCAACCTGCCTTGCCAATGCAAACATCCAAGTGCAACATACCGTGTGAAAGCAGCACATCAGTTGCCTTTCGAAGACAATACTGTCAATCGCTTGCCCATCCGGGAAACCTCCTTTCGCGAAAACACAGCATCGCCGTTGACAATCATGCTGTGATCAGCAATCTCAACATTGTCAGTATTTTCTCCCCGATTTTCAGCTTCCATAAAGCGTTTCATGGTTAATTCCCACAGCCGGAACCGTTCTTTTCCCTGTACATCCTTTTCGACCAAATTCTTGGCCTCCTTCTGCTTGCGCATTTTTGAGGCCCGGACTAACCGACGCAGGGCGTCTTCGCCTTGCTGCGCTGTTCTTGCCGCTTCTTCTCGTATCTTCTGTGCATCTCTTGCGTTCGTGTCCTCTTGTGGGGTAAACTTATAGGTGTGGCGGCTAGGAAAGTCAGGGAAGTTGGATGGGATGTAGCTTTTTGCTTTCTTGTCGGGCTGACCACTAAGCTCAGGGCCAAGGAGGGGGAGAGTCGTATATGCATCGTCGTCGGCCACATGAACGCTTTTGTACCTTGGAGTGCAGGCTTCGGCTGGTAACGGATTCTTCAAATGGGGTTTAAGTGATGAAAGTGGTAGGTTGAACCGTCGTAAAACCGCTTCAAAGTCCATAGGTACGGGGTGATCGCGGCGAGAAGAGAGAGCCAATCTCTTGGTCTCCTCAATTATGGACCCAAGATCTAGATTTGCATTAGTACGGCAGTAAGTTGATTTGTGTTGACTGACAAAAAACTAACACGTCTCGACGAGGGCTGTGAAGCTCTCCATAGCCTCAGGCGTCGCAGAGGAAAATCCATCATGCTTGAGAGCCAAAGCTATTGAACGCTGGATGCCGACCCTTGCGTTGGCATGATGTGTTGGCGCAAAGGACTTGAGGGCCATGACCTCCTCCTCGTCCTGAGCCTCCGGAATGTTGGTAGAGACAATGTCATCTGGAGCATTATCAGGACGTGGCCCGGTTAGCCTACGTCGCTTGGAGCTTCCATCTGAGTCTGACGGAGACAGGCTACGTTTCGATGACATGATTCAAGCTCTCGAAAGACTTGTAGATGGGTTGGCGAAAGGGATCCTCAGCGGGAGCTGTGTTTGCCAAAGGCTACGCCAATTCTTTAGCCGAGTGTGGGCCGACTCAAGGCTGTGCATCTGCGGAGGAAAATGGAAAAGTCAACAGCGCAGGAATGTTTGGCGGTACCCTTTGTTGAAGTTGTGATACGTAAATAAAGAACGGCGGCGTCAGCGGCCGACTTGAGTGAGCGGTGGTGATGCGACGAGCTCTAAGGTCTGGCAGACTCGGTAAATGCTCGGCTTATGTCAGGGATGCGGGAAGCTGAAGCTACCAGGTAACTTACCTAGGCACTTAAAGGTAGTAAGTAGTAGTAGTTGAGGACATGCAGCCACTAACCTAGGCACTGCTGTGATACTCGGAGCAGCCAAAACCTTCCTTCTACGGAGTAACAAAGGAGCTGTTCGCAGAAAAGCAAAAAAAAAAGACTCGAAGGAGTACTAGACGCTACCACTACGGCGAGATTTTTGCCAGACAAGCTCAATAAAGGGTCCGGGGACAACAATGGGTACCTTGCCAGTTAGGCGTCAAGGTTGCTCAAGTGCACATGTGACCAGATTCCATGGCGTAACGCCTTCTGCACCTTAGTCTGTGCTCCGTCCTTGCTTTGCCCGCTACCCGGAACCAGGCGAATCAAGTTTCAGTTGTGATTTTGGAGTCGTACAGTCCGTCAAGCTTGGACTATATGCCTCTTTGCGATTGGATAAATATCAAGAATTTCTTACCGACTATGGAGTATACTTGCAGCTGTTGGGCAAACGGTATTTCATTGACATCCGGCAGGCACTTGTACAATATAATATGGTCCATGTCTGGTTATATATTATGTTGCTGCCGCCTTGGCAGGCCTGTCGGCGGCTCCTTCTCCGTAGGGCCTGGGAGAACGCCAAGCTTTCCTCTTCAACTCCAATCAGCTTGAGGAAGGCGCCTACTCTCTTGCTCCTTCCTTCCTAGCTGCCAGTCTGTGCAGCCACTTGGTATACGGAGTGCTGACCACCACGCTATGCCTACTAGAGACTCTGTAGTGTTTTGAGGACCGACAACATCACTCGACCACAAGATCGAAACGAGTGGCACAAATCCTGTTGCCTCGGAGCCCAACGCCAACACTTGAGAGAGAGGCCTGCCCATAGCCGCAAATCACGTCGCACTATTTGCATCACTCCTAGCGGGTTCAACCCCAGGTGGCTGCCACAAGTCCTACGCCGATTGTGCCATCAAACTCAATATCCTCACTCTTCTCCGGCAGACCGCCTCCAATGTCTCGGTAGCCAACGTTCAGACGCAAGCAGATGCGAGGTACTGCCCAAGGGACAAGGGACCAAGTGCCGACCTCGTCCTTGGTTCTGGTGACAGACTACCGAGTACTCCAAGACCGGTGGCTCAGGTCTCCACTCCATGGCGTCGAAATGCGCTGATGGCCATTTCTGTCACAAAATATATGGTTACTATGCCTACAGAGACTACTCCGTAGCTATACTCTTGTTCTTCCTATTCAACTGTCCAGCCCGGTAGAATACACTAGCTCCCCTAGCCCTCGGCGGAACACCATGAAGCTGCCTGTAGGGACCTTACCTCGGCGACAAAACTAACTCCAAAGTTGTCGATGTCTGGAAGAAATCAACACTGAGCTAGTATCGGAAAATCTGTCACGATACAAACGCTACACGTCTATTCTTGCTGTCAGCTGCACACCGCACCCCTCACACATAAAGAATTTGTTGATTATCTTCGCTGGGGAAACCGTCGTTTTGGAGACACAGACTTCCAAACTGACAGCATGTTTTCATTCGACAAGGCCCTTCTGCCCAAGATCACCACTAGGAAAGCTTTGATCCTAGTTGATTTCCAAAACGATTTCCTGGATCCTGATGGAGCCTTACCTTGTTCGGACCCCGAAGGGTTCATAAATCGCGCCGTTGAACTAGTTGCCAACTTTCGTGGTAACGGCGATATTATTTGGCTTCAGTCGCAATTTGCAAGCCCTGTATTAGTGGACCATGAGTCCGTCATTGTTTCCGATGCGCCGCCAGCGAGTAGGCACCGATCACGTCGAAGCCGAGGACGACATGCTGCTCCCGCCTTGCCTCAGAACCCAGATGCGCCATTGGATCCCGAGGCTTTCCTAAGCCACCCAGAAGCTAACTGTGTAAAGCCGTCGTCCTGGGGAGCTCTAATGAGCCCAGCTGTGGAAATTGCGGTGACAGAGGGAGACACCATTCTGTCAAAGCCTCAATACTCTGGTTTTAGAGGGACCCAACTCCTTCTGTTACTCCGGGCAAAGATGGTCATGGAGGTCTACATCTGCGGATCCTTGGCTAATGTAGGAGTCTACGCTACTGCCTTGGACGCCGCCGGCCATGGAATGTCAATCACCATTGTCGAAGACTGCTGTGGTTATCGCAACGAACAGAGACAGCTCGCGGCAGTACGAAGTCTGATCGAACTCACAGGATGCGAGATTGCTTCTTCGGCAGAGATACTAGAAAATATTCAGCCCAAGAGTGCTGCGAAAGCTCCTATTCCAACAGGTAGAAAAGCAGACAATCGCATCGCGGTCGCTGATTCCCCTGATCTTGTGCAACACATGGCGGGCCTTCGGCTTGATGCTGAGTCCCCGGCGGTCGAGGCTGGCAATGGTACGGCCCCGTCACCGGCCAGCAAGGCTGACTCAAAGAGTGCCAAGCCGAAACAACGGGAAACGGCTGGAAAAGACGAGAAATCAAAGGAGAAGGTGCCTCAGGGCGTGGAATCTGGCAAACAAGTAGTTGAGAAAGGTGACATTGGTTCATCCGTCGCAGAAGCCAGTAACAAACAACAAGAGGCTTTATGTACGACCGGCACCAAACCCCACCTGAACATCATGGCCAGCCCACCAGTCACTTCCGACATTGATGGGGAACAACTTCTGCAAAAGGGCTTATGTGAGGGCGACACTGACATCATTGAAAATGTCCTACCTGAAGACCTAGCCAAAGACGCTTTTGAGAAATTAAGCGATGAAGTGCAGTGGCAACGAATGCTGCACCAGGGCGGCGAGGTTCCCCGCCTGGTAGCCGTGCAAGGCGAGGCATCAGACGACGGAAGCATGCCAGTTTACCGCCATCCATCAGACGAATCACCGCCACTGCTACCGTTTTCTCCCACA